AGTCACTGGTACTTGTATTCCCGATCTTTAGGTGGATTCAGACATTTGTATTTCCTACCTGGATATTTCCTCTGAATTACTGACTTGTACATTCAATTGCCTCTTTGATATCTCTGCTTAGATGTCCAACATGTACCTCAAACTTACCTCATCCAAAAAGTCTTTTCCTCCAAACCTGCTTGATCTAGACTCCCTTACAAATTTCAGTAGATGGCAATCCCACTTTTCAGCTGCTCGGGTCTAAAACCTTACATGTAATCTTTTATTTTTCTCACATCTCGAATTCATTCCATAAGCAAACTTATTGGCTCTATCTTCAAAATTTATTCAGACTCTAATCACTTATTACTACCTCCATTGCTACCTGAATTATTGCAATAGCCTAACTGGTCTTCCCAACCTCGCCCTTGCCTCCTCTAAAGTCTATTCGCAATATAGCAGTTAAAACAGCCTTCTCATTTTATTAGGAAGTATTTCAAATATACAGCAAAGTTGAAAGAATTTTAAGTGATCCATCTGTATACCCATCATCTAGATTTTACCATTAAGAGTCCTTTTAAAAAAATGACAGATTGTATAGCTCCTCTGCTGAAAGTTCTTCAACAGCTTACTTCAAAGAGGAAAAGCCAACTTCTTACCATGGTCTACCAGATCCAGCATGATCTGGTCCCTACTACTATTCTTCCATCTTGTCCATTACTCTTCAGCCACACTGGCCTCCTTGTTGCTCATATATGGCAGAGTGCATTCTTACTTTAGGGTTTTTGCACTTGCTGGCTCTTTGCTTGGGATGCTCTTCCCCCAAGTATCTGTATGACTTACCTTTCTTTGGATCACCTCATTAGAGGTTTTTTCTGACTCTTCCAAGTATTAGGTTGAATAATAAAACTCTAATAATGTCATCCAATCAGGTTGACCTATTATTCTAATGTTGTTCTGAGGTTTAAAAAAAATGATGTAAAAAGATCAGTAATTTTAAATGGTTCAAACTAATAAAATAGCAAGACCACCCTACCCTTTTATTCTTACCTGGGTTCTGTGTAGCACTTCTCATCATCTTGTGTACTATTGGTGTATTTTCTACAAGATCCTCAAAAATGGGGGCTCTTTCCATTTTTTTCCACTGCTGTATACTCAGTGCACAAACTAGTACTTGGCCCACTGTGGGCACTCAGTACATATTTATTTAAAAAATGAATTCTCATTGAAGCCAGAATGATCTTTTGAAAACACAAATCATGTTATTCCCAATAAAAACTCTTCAATTGGTTTGCAGTGTTTCCAAAGATAGGGATCTTTACCAAGGCTATAAGACTTTGCATGGTGGGCCATTACTCTAGACTCATCTTACATTATCCCCCTCATTTTTTTCAGACTCTGGAACCCTGCAGGTTCCATCATGAGGTTTTTTACATTCTTCCTTGCTCTTCCTCTACCTCTACATCAAATTCACTCTGAGGCAGTTTTAAATCTTGGCTAAAAGCACCTCTTGCTGGGAGAAGCCATTTATAGGCCGAGTTCCACTTTAATGCCCTCATGTACCACATACTTACTCTTAGTAATACCTATTAGGATTATAAAGTTACTTTTGTGTGATCATTTGTCTCCCTTACCAGACACTTAAGTTTCATAAGAGAAGGAAACAGCTTTATTTTTACTTTCCATTAGATCTTTAGCATCTAGGAAGTACCTGGCACATAGTAAGAGCTTAAGACTCATTTAAAAATTGACCCTGTTGTGTCCCTGTGTTACTAGTGCCTAACTGGGTGTCTGGTACACAGTAGATGAATAAGTTTCTAAATGAGCCATAATAAAAAATAAAGATGTTTGATTACTCATTTATAATAAGAATATAATGCAGAAGAGCCATCACTTGATTATGTGATTAGCCATTCACACATAATTGATACCTACACAAAATCTCAAATTCTCCCCTCTCATCAACCTTTCCTCATCACTTCAAGACAGTTTAAAGTAAGTTCCACATTTTTCCTTTCCTTTCCTTTATTTACTCTCTGGTGGAGTAAAGCATGAGCTGCTCTGGCTAGAAGCCATGCAGAGCCAGAACTAGCCATAAACGAGATCTGACTTCTGAACCAATAGACCATGGCACTCTCATTTGGATGTTTAGAAACTTTTTTTTTTTCTTCAGTCAAATGAGGAGCTCTGCATTCTTTTTTCTTTTTACTTTAATAGGAATCTCTTTGAAAACATTTCAGTGGTCAGAGGATGAATTAAAACACACACATACACGGGTTGTATAAATTTACAGGTTTATTAGGGCAGAATGATATGGAACAGTATAAGAAGCAAAAAAGCAAAAATCTTACAAATGAATAATTTTTAAGTGTGTTGACCCACATAATTTTTTAGTAAACTTGTAATTCCAGATGAGCACTATGGAAAGCTTGTTGACTTTGTCATCTGCTAAATTAGGAAAAGAGCCAAATCAAACATAATAGAAACGAATTGTTGCCAAATGGTCATTTTTTTTTGATATAATGAAACGCAAAGAAACTAAACACCTGAAGAAGATAGTCAGATGTCATTTCCTAGTTTTAATAATGTATTATAGGTATGTAAGATACTACCAATGGGGGAAACTGGGTGAATTGTACATAGGACTTACTACTCTTTTTGCAATTGCTTGTGAGTCTACATTATTTCCAAACAAAAAGTAAAAGAATAAAGAAGAAAAAAATAGTAAATCTAGATAAGAAAAAAATAGTAAATCTAGATAAGAAATTTTTAGAAAGAGAGTATTTGTTATATTTAAAACAAATATACATAGTTGAAGACTTGTTTTCAGGTTTATATACGTTTGTAAGGAGTTAGACAAAATTTTAAAAATGCTTCCAACACACACACACACACACACACACACACACATTTACTAATAAAAATATTAAGCTCTGAAAAGTGGCATCTTATTTTTAATGTTTGAACTAATGATGTTTTTCAGAGGTGTGTACAGAGTAAAAAACATGGTATTGTATTTGCAAAAGACAACTTAATTTTGTGAAAACCACAAAAATGAATGTTTGCTCTTAGGAAAGGAAAATTTTTGTTTCCTGACATCATCAAAGAAAAATGTGAAGGATCTGATATGAAAGGAACAAAAATGTACAAATCTTACCATCTCATTCCTTAAAAACTGTATAAATACTTGCAAAATTTTCCTTCATCTATTAAATTGTCCCTAGAGCAGCCAGCCCACACAGACCTGGGGGCATTTACATGTCAAAATATTCCATAAAGATCTGGGAACACATATTTTTGGCAGAAAGATCACTTAGTGGGCAGGGAAAGACTGCTTGTGAATAATCCATAGTGATGCATTCAGTAAAATGTTAGCATCGTACTTTATAACACTCTTGAAATTGTTCAAAGGACACATGACAGTATGAACTCTTAGAACAAGTGATGTAGGGTTTTGGGTGCTAAATAGATGGCAAATATCCCATAGAGGGAGATGTAAAAATACAGAGAAGTTCCAAAATTGCCTCTTTTACACTCTACCTTAAAGTATATTTTCATAATAAAACTCTAAAATCAAAATAGAAGTCTGCTTGCCCACTTTGCTTATATTTCCCTCTTAAATATTAAAGTACAGCAACATGGCCTAAAGGGAATTAGGGTCAGAAAGATCTGAGTTCAAATTTTGGCTTTTCCAGATGCTAGTTTTGTTACTTTAGGCAAGTCACAATCTCTCTGAATCTCAATGTCTTTGTTACCAATATACCCATATATTGATCCCCATATTTCAAGGTGGGTTCTAGTATTGAAAGGGGTAATATACCTAAGTGCTAGCACAATGCTCTAATAGTAGGTACTCAGTGTGAGCTCCCTCCTAGTTTTCCCAGAAGACACAACAAAATATTTGTTAGTTTGGTAAGAGCCAAAACAAGTAGTTAAAGAGTAAAATAAAAAGGGCAGGAGAATATCATCCTAATATTATCCAAACAATCTTTCTATAATTATGCAATTATATAAACTAATATTTAATAAACATCATTGAGTTTATTGGTATTGCTCAGGTAATGCATTACTATCTGAATAGGTTCTCTCTCTTGCAAGTCGACTTTTTATTTCGTCTTTAACTGATTTAGCAAAACATGTCAGTAAGCCTTTGTTCAGATCATAATATAATATGATATTCTAGGAAGATTAAGCTCCTCTTGATCCCCGTATAAGTCATTTTATTCATGGGTCTGAGAAAAATAGTGACATGGAAAGAGAAACAGTGAAAGGTTGAAGAAACTGTCTTTCAAGCTGATGGTATAATTCTCCCTGCGATCAAGCATCTGTTATGTCTCACACTCTAGAAACCAAAGTTCCTTAATTCATGCCTTGAACCTCTTTTATCAGTGCCATAGTCCCCACTATGAACTCTAAGGGACGAGCAAGGCTCCTGAAACTGCAGAAGCACAGAAACAGCCCTTAGAGGGCTTTAGGGACAGGTTCTTAACATGGAATCCGTGGGCTTATTCAGGGGGTTCTGGAACCTACACTCCCTGTATGTAGAGTTGTGTCTAAGTGTATGTTGTGCCTTTTTCTTAGGAGGCTACTCAACTGTCACTTCCTTCTCGTGGTATTCTCTAGCCATCCTATTCTACCAAAGAGCACATAATGTTTTTCATCATTCTTGCGCATTTCCTGCAGAGCCTACACAACCTGTCATTACTTTGTTTGTTTGCTAAATCCGTCTACCACAACACTAGAAGGTAAGCTTCCCCAAAAGGCGGATCCTGGTCTTTCTCCAGTTCCTTGCACCTGGTGGGTCTCGCAAGATACTTCTGAAACGAATGACAGTTCCCTGTGTATCAGCTATCTAATGGACTTTATATCCACCGCCCCCACCCCAAGCATTCTTCTCCGGAAATAATTTAAAAAATCACGCGTTTTCATTTTGAAAATAAGGCTTTTAGCATTTCAGCCACACCCATTCACCCTCGCACACTCGTTTCCTACAGTGGGCACTGCCACCCCGGGCCACTTACCCAAAACCACTAGGCTGGACAGTTTAGAGGTGACCAGGAAAGGTGCAGCCTTGAACCTGCACACTCATCAATTCAAATCTCCGGCCCAGCTCCCGGGGGCGGAGGAGCTAGGCAGGAACCGCAGGCCAGGAGGAGCCACCTCTAGGCCGTCTCGGGACTCCGCCCCAGCGGCGGTCGCGCCCCGCTGTGCTCCGTCCAGCGCGGCCCCAGTAACTCTCAGTGGCGGGGCAGAGTGGCAGGAGAACCGTCCCCCGGGCGGCGCACAGCTCGCCGCGGGAAAGCCGGGTGCACTTCGCCTGACCGAGATTAAACCCAACCCGCAGCGCGCGC